GTCAGATGTCAGGAGTTCACAGTCCACATGCCTCCTTGGAGGCCACTAGCCATCTCTGTCTTCTTTCAGGCTTGCAGCCAGTGCTGGCCCTTTTCTCCCCCTTGAAAGCTTCGCATCTATGGCCTTACTGCCCCTTTTCACCTCAGTCAGAAGAAGCTAAAACCTATTGTATTATTTTTTTCTGTAAAGAGACACAACCTGAAAGCCATGAAAATAGTCTTCTTCATAGAACAGACAGCATTTACATCTCAGTTTGAAGAACACACTGTTGGGTTAGGTCCTTAGTTAGAAAACTCCCTACAGTGGACAGATTTTCCTTCTATTTCATAACTGAAAAGTCCACTGGAGTGGTCAGTTTTGAAATTAAGAAGAAGGCCTTACACCTTACACCAAGGTTAAATTCTAGTTCCTACTCAATTGCTGTAACTTATTATTATGTCTTTAAGTAGTAGAGTCTCACTCATCTCTAAGTGTAATTTCACAGCCTTTGAGATTGGGACTCTGATTTAAGTATGATGACAAACTTACAAAAATGTAAGGCTTTAAAAATATCCATTTGTCCCCACTATATATTGATAGAAACAGACATGTGTAAATTTATTAAATACCTTTATGTTTGGGACTCTGTGATGGAACACTTTGCATTTATTTTCTTCTTATTTGATGGTTTTCGTAGAGAGGAAACTGCAGGAACTGGGAGTGAAGTAACCAAGTCCCATGGTTGAGCCCATGTTCTGTGTGGCCACAGCCTTTTCCATATCAGTAATATCTTTTCATTATCACTCTAAACAGTAATTATCCCTCTGGATTCAATAAAGAGTAAATTCTTTTCTGTCTGCTCTGCTTAATGAGTTAAGAATACGTAAACATTTTTTGGCAATATCATTCCTAAAATATTAAAAACAAATAGAATGTTTTACAAGTTGGTTCTTGCAAAATCAGGATACAAAGCCAGCAGCTGTAATGACCAAATAACAGTAACATAAGGAAGACGGAAAATAATTTCTCTCTAATGTTGAAGTCTTGGCAGGCCATCCAGGGTTGACACAGCAGATGCCTGGGTTCTACGACCCAGATTTCTTCTTTTTTCTTTCCTCTGCCATTCTTAACATATAGTTTCCATCTTTGGTCTACAGTGGCTGCTCCAGATCCCACTATCTCATCATCATTCCAGTGACAAAATGGTAACCACAGGAGCAGGAGAGGGCATGCATTTCCCCTTGAAAAGCCCATCTCTTAAAGTTGCACTTAACTCCTTACGTTTATATCCTGCCAGCCAGAACTTTGATATTAGTCACACGTACCCCAAGGAAAGTCTTGAGAATAAACTACCAGGTAAACATGTATGCAGCTAAAATGTAAGCTTTCCCGTATTAAAGGAAGAAGAGGCGAATGAATATTTGGTGGCAACCAATAGTCACCTAATGATGTCATCTGGAAATTTGACTCTATAAAGTAACTAATATTCTGAGAAATGTGGATAAATATATTGTGATTCCACAGTCTTTTGGATTCCTTTGTCACCTTTTTCTTATTTTCATGTTTTGCATTATTCTTTTGGGAGTTGCACTATAAGGTAGTCAGTTTTACAGAAAGTCTCAATTAAGAAAAGGTTCAAACTTAAGTAAAGGTGTTTTATTTCTTTTATTTTAACCTTTGTTCAATGCCTCTGTTATCATTAATACCATGCATGTTGAATTGGCTTCAGTGTTTCCTTAATGATCCTGATCTCATATTGCTTTTATTGTTGTTGTGGGTGTAGTTATGTGCCACTGAGTTGAGTGCAGCTCATAGGGACCCTATGTACAATAGCTCTGAACCCGACTCTCTCCTCAACCAATTTCACTGTCTCCAACACAGCTATCCCTATTATCCTAGTTCCTGTGTCAATCTGTCTCATCCTGGGTTTTCCTCTCTTGCTCTGTTCCTCCACTCTTCAAAGCATGATGTCTTTCTCCAAGAAAGGTCCCTCCTGGCAATGTGCCCAAAGTATGTAAGCTTCAAAATCCTTGCATCCAAGGAGCAACATGGCTTCACCCTCTGCAGGACAAACCTGTTTGTTCTCTTGACAGTCCATGGTAAATTCAATACTCTTCTCCAGCACCACAACTCAAAGACATCAATAATTCTTCTGTCATCCTGGTCCATTGTCCAGCGTTCTGATGTGTAGCAAGTAATTGTGGGGACTATGGCCTGGATCAGGTGCACCTTTGTCTCTAGAGTGACATCATTGCACTTTAGAGTTATGTTTATGAAGATCATGTTAAGAAAGAGTGAATATTTAGTAATACTTCTTATATCTACCTTCCAGGAGCCCGGGTAGTATCATGACTGGAATATTAACAATAAGATAAGGGATTTGAACCCACCAGCTGCACTGTGAGACAAAGATGAGACAGTGTGCTTTCATAAAGATTTACATCTTTGGAAACCCTATGGAGCAATTCTATCCTGTCCTATAGGGTAGCTAGATAGAGTTGGAATTAACTAGATGGCAATGAGTTTGGTTTGGAGTGGGTTCAACGCTCACATTTTGTTGATGGAAGATATGGTGTGGACTGGAGGTAGCAGGGAGGAGAGTGATTGCAGATTGCAGAACTGCAGGCAGAGATGCTGCTTGAATTTGGTATCTGAGGCAGGGACTATTTCTCCTGTGACTTTCTGTGTTCTGGGCTTGTCAGGGCTGGAGCAGGCTCAGGGATGTGGTCAGCATCAGGTCTAATACCAGCACACTATAGTTCAGGTATGAATATTAGTTGATATTTTTATTTACAGTAAAGAGTAAGATGATTGTAATCAGTGAAGATGTGTGTTGAAACTTTTTTCATCAAAGACATGAGTGACTTCTTCGATGAATTGGATCATAGTTTTTAAGACTGAAAAAAATTTCAATTTTGTATGCTATTCACCAATTGAAGTATTTCAGATAACAGATGTTGCCCTGGATGTGCTCACCAAGTTGTGCCAAGAAATCTGGAGAACAACCACTTGGCCAACTGAC